GGAAAGTAAATGCAGGTTTCCTGCTGCCATCTGCTTGTTCCAAGCTGTCCTGCCCTTGGGGATGTTTAGTGTCACGTCTGTGTGCTTATGGGGACACCCTCTGTTCTGCCAACTGTGCAATCACTGAACTCACTGATATGTGTAAATATTAAATATTGTTATTCTGAAGTTATTTTCTGGCTTGATTTGTGTCACCTAAAGGACTTGTAACTTCAAACTAGCTCCAGTAGGAAGAGACATGGAATAGCACAGAGAGTTAAATTATCTAACTTGAACCACCAGAAAGGAGTCTTTTCTGGGATAGGCATCAAGCTACATAGTCCCTGGAGAGAGGCAGCCTTCCCCCAGCCCACACTGAAAGAGATGTCTAAGGCAGGTGGGAGGTGTTGCTTCTCTGGGCAAGATTTGGTTGTCCACACTAGACAGGAGAATCCAGTGGCATTTGAAGTGCAGCAAAGCATCCTGCTCAGATGCCAGATGCTGCTCCAGGTGGCTACGGTCTCCCACATGTCCTCTGTCACACCTGAGAGCCACTCACAGGTGTCTAGAGACCCGGGTATCTCAGCTGGAGCTAGCAACAGAGAGGTGTGGGTGACCAAAGCAAACGCCTGTCTCTTGCAAACACAAGGATGCTAAAAGTTCATTTAGCCTAGATACATAAAAGTGGCTAAAATTAGGTGAAATCATTCCAGATCATGGCTTTTCAGATCCCCCAAATCACCTTTTACATGAGTCAAAGCCTGACCCCTCAGAAGTGTCACCAGAGCCTTCTCCAGGAGCCGGCCAGCACGTTGTGACCGGGGCAACTCCTCACACCAAGCACTGTGGGAAGACCTGCAAACCCAGGCTTTCCTGGTGGGCAAGGCTTCAAAAGAAAATGTCTACATAATACTAATAATAATAACTTTGATTCAGACAGAGAGTTGGCTTGACTAAAGTTAAAATACCATGTTTCAGAACTGGGATTACTACAGATTTTAAGTGGATTTGTTTTTGGTTTTTTTTTTCCAAAAAGGAAAGTATTATTTCAGGGAAATCTCCTAACAAAGGAAAAGAGGCATTTTGTCTCTGAAATGTTTTATGTATTGTAGACATGAAGAATTTAGTAAAACTAAGGAATTCATAATATTCTTCTATATATTCCTTATAGATATCTTCTTCTATATATTCTTAATCTTTTATCACTATTAATCTTCTATCTATCTATCTACCTACCTACCTACCTATTAGTCTGTCTTCTCTATATCTATCAATCCGAAATAATTAATGGTCAAAAACTCACATGGGCATAAGGATGAAATATTTGTTAAATTTTTATATTTATTACTCACTGCACAGTCTCACCATGCAGACTCTCATACAAGGCATAAAAATGTGTTACTTTATAATCAAATTATCCCTCTCTCTTCTGCATTTGAAACCCGTGCAGGAGACCAGCCACATGCAGATCTGTATTGGTTGGAAGAGAAATAAAGTGTTCCTGGGATTGATTTGGGACAGGAATAAAACTTTAGACCAAGGGCACCACCTGAAAAATTGTAAATGTTTGGAGACCTGTAGCCCAGTGTTTCAGCTGCCAAGATCAAGGACATGATTCAAATACCTGGGCTGGAAACTACAGACTAGTTCATACCATTTCATTTCAAGAGGAACTGTCAGATCATTTTGATGTAAATAGCTCAGATGCCTCAGGCCTCAGCGCTTGGCTTTTCTTGGTGCGCAAAGCAAAGCAAACCAGTGAAAGGTTGGTTGCCGCAGACCTCCCTGTGCCACAGTCTCTGCTCTACTGCCCTGTCCCCAGCCCTGCGTCTCTCCTCATAGGCAGCTCCTCACAGGCAACCACCTCTTTGCAAACAAACTTCAAAAAAGTCCCAAAGGAAATAAAAAAGAAAAAAAAATACTTTTCCAGATTCTCAGAGTACTTTATTTCATTTCCTACAGACCACCAGCTCTTTGGGCTTGTCCCTTTCCAGAGGAGTGACAGGGGACAAGCACCCTTTGGAAACGCCCTTCCCTGTGGGATGTCTCTCACCCCACAGCACCCCTTTCCTCCTAAGCCCATGGACCACAGAGGGCCATCTAAAGCTCTTCATCAATAACATCACATGTTTAATCCAGAAAGGCAGGGCAAGGGCTTTATCTTAGGTGCAGAGGGCACTGTTTTGTCCATCTTTATTTCTTCCTGTTGGTTAACTTCAAAGCTGAGTAGCTGTAAGCGCTCACTACTGTGCAGGTTATTTCCACCACAGATAGAAAACTTCACTGGTACACAGCTCTCATCACTTTCTCCCAGGAACTCCTCTATTTTTATCAAGCACCCATGTCAGAGTTTGTTCCATCAAGGTCGAGTGATAAGGACAGAGTAAGAGCTCACCTGAGTATCCCCCAAGTAGATACTCAGAACCATTGAAGATACACCAGAACACCCTGGCTGCTGCTCCAGAAGGGCATGTGTCTCCCGCAAGGGGCTCTGTAATATCCGTTTGCCCATGTGGACATCTCAGAGGCTTTAGAGCATCTCAGGTGGCACCAACCATCACTACATGAGCAGCCAGACCAAGCCCTGAAACATCCACTGGGTACAGGGACACCGCTCTTAAAACGCAGCCCTGAGTCCAGCAGACTGAGATCTGCTCTCGCCCTGTCCTACCTCACAGGACCTAAAATAGGTCAGTGAATCATATCCTAAAATTGCATGTTTCTCCCCATGGGTTACAGAGGGAGCTCGGAGTGAGCGGTGCTGCAGCTGGAGCCCAAAGCTGCATCCCTCCATCATAAGCAGGAAGCCCACCTCCGACATCTCTCAGTTGTTAATGAGATTTCTTTTTGGGGGGTAAAATAGCTGCATTAGCTGTGAGTCATCTAGTGGCAAAAGAGCACAATGACAGATTCAGTGAGGAATCGGTCTTCTCACGCTTTTACGATCCTTCTTCCATGCACTGTATATCAGCAAAACCACTACAGCTTCAGATGAGCTGCCTTACACATACTTTTTCTCTAAGTCTCCTTCATCCCACCATGTAAAGTTTTCACTTAAATTTTATCCTACCACATCTGCCCTCCACTCTTCTGGGACTTTTAATGAAATTTCCCTGGAGATTTTTATGCCTGCCACTTTTTTTTTTCATTTTTTTTTCCCCCAAGAGATGATAAAAAACAGAGTCGGTCCAGGCGTTCTGGGCAGATGTCAAAGAACAAATTCAAATCTTGTTTTGGACGTGTTGAATTTAGTTGACCCCACATGAAGGATGCCATGCCAGCTATTTTCTCCCAGGAATGCCTGGCTGAGACCCAGCCATGTGCACTTTCAGCCACGTGCACCTTCAACCCTGTTCTGTTCCCACCTAGGAAATATGCTGCAAAACGTTTGTTCATAGAAAAAAAGCTTAGTGTGTGCCTGTATGCAAACAGTGTTTTAAAGGCTATTGAAACATCCCATTTTGAGCAAGAAAGACAGCCCAGAGAAACCAGTGCCTCCATTACTACGACAGCTGCAGTTTCTATGACCTTGTGCAATTAAGGTGGAAGGGAGTGTTTCTAATTACCACCCAGAAAATGCGCCTTAAAATTGCACAGTGTCCCTTTTGTATATAAATATTGGGTCAAAGTTAAACCCCCTCACTCAGTCAAAACAATATTTGAATACAAATATATAGGAACACTTCTCCTAAGGCATGATAAATAATCATGTGGTTGTCAGGATTTTTTATCTTTTTTTATTTTTGTCTTTTTTCAAATAGTCCTTGCAGAGACTTCCTACCAGATCACTGTAAAAGTTAGCAAAAATCTTATTTTCCCTTGTACAGAGAGGTGTCACAGAAAACATGGGGTTCCTGTACTTCTCCCCCTTCTTCCCACAGCCATCGCCCATGTGCACATGTATTCCCACCATGTCCTGCCCATGGGAGATGCTCAGCCTGTGTCACTGTCATCGCCATGCACAGCTACTCCTGGCTGTCTGCAGGTGATGGCACACTGCAGAAGACCTTCCTGAAGATTTGAGCTTTCAAACTCCTGCTCAGAGTGAGTCTGTGATGATGAAATCTGTGATTTCCACTTGGAAAGGAGCTACCTGCTCCACAGATGAACGCGAGTATGCAGGAAAGCCAAACAAGTGCCCTAAATAGGTCTGGGTTTACATAGAATTGGTTATGAATCATCATACCTAGACAGATGAAAATGGTTCACAAGGCACTTAAAAAGTTATCGGTGTGGCAAGTCCATAATAAATGTAAATGACTTAATTCCTTATCGCATATGTGAGCTTTTCTCACAATTATGTCTGTTTAACGGGAGCTTCACAAAGTAGTTAAGAAAAAGTCTGTATCTTTCCTGCACTTTTATTGCAGTCTAAGACCAGCTTGCTCTCCTGCCCGCTTCCAGCAGTGAAACGCTAATGCACTTGCCTTGAATATCAGCGCAGCTCCTTCGGCTGGTCTATGATAGATCTTCTTTTGCTGTTTCCTAGGTTTATTTTGATGACTATTGCAGGTTTAGTTCAGACAACTTTAAACAGACAAATTCTTAGCCCTATCTTCTGCTTTAGCCTTGTGCCTAGAGCCTAGAGAAATACAGATTATTTTCATACCATTGTATATTAGACAAAATATAACATTTCCCTTCCTTTAAGCCAAGCTAGTACTATCCCCCACATCAGTGCTCCATTGTTCTTATCAACACAAATTCCTACCCTCTTAATCTCTGCTCCCCAGAAAAATAAGATTGGATATCTTCTGAAGAAGGGGCAAGACTGCAGAATTTCCAGTAGTCCTCCAAAGACAGAGATTCTGAGTTCACTTCTCAGGACTTTTAGATTTATGGCTCTGTTTCATACTGCATCTTTCCTTGCAAAGTACAGGAAATGAATACTTAGCCGCTTCTTTACAAAGTGGCACTATTTTTTCTGATTTTCTTCTATTTTTTTCTGATTGTGGACTCGACCAAAGAATATTATCATCAGTCCATTATTCCTCTCTATGATCTAAATTAAGCGACAGAAAATGGCTCTAAATATACCAGGCTTAATATCTTTGAGTGTGTTTTTTACATTAACTTTAGCTATTGGAATTTGGGCTTCTTGGAAAAGCAGAAAGGACCAGCACAACAGGAACCCAACTGAAATGGCCATAGTTGGAGGCAGGAATATAAATGTTTTCATTGGATTGTTTACTGCAACAGGTAAGCTTTCTCAAAGGACTTTTAAAAATTCTTCTTAAAACATATGCATTACATAGATCTGGGGATTTTCTTTCAAAGCAGGTGAACTCCTTTAATGTCAGGGCAGATTTTACCTAAGTGTGGCTTTAAAGGAGTATGGTTTTATGAATCATTTTGGGATGGATTCTTCCAAACCTCTTCACACTGAGCAGAACCTAATGTTTATGTAGATTCTTTTAAATTAAAGAGATTAATTTAAGAGTTTAGTTAAGAGTTAAAGAGTTTAATTTAAGAGTGACTGAGGAATATGACACTTTTCATTAAGGAGGACTGTGGTCTTAATCTTGAACCAGTTTCTGTTATCCAGCATAACAGAAGAATTTTACTCCTGGAACAATCCAGTTCTGTGTGGAATAAATTGCTACTCGTGGTGAGCATTGAGCCCTCTTCTTAAGAGAAACTGTTTCCCCACTGACTGCTGCCCTCTGCTTCACTTTTCTCCCCTTGCTGCCTGGCATCATCTGAAATTTGCTTCCCTGCCCCTTTTTCTGTGAAGACTTCCCCATGTGGCATTTGCCTGGCTGAGACATTTAAGTCCATGTCGTAGGTTTGTATTCTGACTGCAATGTCTGCTTGCATTTTTTTTCCTAATGTCTATTTTCTGAAGCAATTTTCTTAATGTAAGTGATGCTTATGAAGGATGGTCTATCAGTCATGGCAGAATAGCAAAGGCAATTCTGTTTGCTCTAGAGTCTTCCACTGAGAAAAATGAAATTAAAAATTAGTATATTCAAATTGCCTCTAAATGTCCAAACATTGAGCTTTTCTATGCACACACAGATATTCATTCTTGAACCTGGGAAATTATTTAGGGTGAGATTCTAATACTGTTGCCTGTACTCAGCAGCACATCTCACTACGGGAGAAAATAGACATGTGATTAAATATTTGTACGAGAAAAAGGTTTACAAGCTCTCAGAGTGTTCTACAAAACTAGCTGAAAATATGTGCTGTAATTCTTACATTTCCATCTTTCATGTTTACAGCCACCTGGGTTGGAGGAGCATATATCAATGGCACAGCTGAAATTGTCTACCTGCCTTCAAAAGGACTGTTGTGGGTCCAGGCACCTGTGGGATTTGCCTTGTCTCTTGTTATTGGTAAATAATTTATATAATCAGGACACATAAGCTTTAAAATAAATAAAATAAAAATAATCATATGAGTATATGAAGATGCATAGGAGTATAGAGTACATTTTAAAGGTGATTTTGTTTCTTCAGTCTCCAATAGATCCAGAATAAATATTTATAATGCTGTCATCTAAACTGAAGCATAATAAAGTGGGGTAGCTTAGAGCTAGTGTAGAATTTTGCCTGCTTGGAGCAATTTATAAGACAAAAATCTTATCTGAGAACTTTAGAAGCATGTGGCTATGTGCATATTGCTTTTTTATCATCATCTCTTATTCTCAGACTATTGAGAGTATTGGTATCATTTCAATTTTTTCTTCGAAATTTCTGTGTGATGAAGTACTGCTATCTTAATTTTTCCACTAAAATACATTATTCTGAGTAGTCTCATCTCAGGATGAATTTGTGGTGTATCCAGCTCAGCCCACTTTACAGCTGGTCCCTATCTTGTTGAAATTAAGCTAAGCTGGCAGTGTCCTATACCTAAGTTGCCTCCAAGAATTTTTGGACTCACACTGAGGTTCAGCTGTCTTCCAAGTACCAAATTTTCCTCCAGTCCACACTGAGTTATATCATAACTCTCTGGGGACACAGGATGATTAAAGCAAGAAGACCTGTGCAGACCTTGCACAGAATTTCTAAACGAACAATAACCTTTATTCTCAAGTCAGAGAAAAGAGTCCAACTGACGTGAATATGAATCAGGCTTGAAAATATACTGCCAGCATTTCTTATGTGAGTAATTCTTACTAATGAAATTGGGGAGTACAGGTCTGATCCTGCAATCTTTACTCAGGTCAGTAGTGCCCAGGCAAGCAGTCCTGTTGGCTTCAGGGTTAGGCACAATACGTATTCTTTGGTTTTAATGAGACAGCTTTACGTCTGAAGACTAATATTTAGATGAAGGCGGGTGGGACTCAGCTCAATGTGCAGATTAAAACAATATGGTTCTGGGAAGAGACAATGAATCCACCAAAATTAAAATGCAACCAGAAAAGGAACATATGTCAACATGTCGCATCACATGGTCAAGGACAAAAGTTTGTCTCTTTTTTTAGCCAAATAAGGTTGTTCAATGCCTCACTCTGCCTACTGACATTTTGCACAGGAAGCATGTCAGAAAACTTTGTGTCTCATGTTGGGGGAGACTATATGTGGGTGTCCTCTGAGCTAAGTTCCTGTTACAGTCATATAGGTATCTTATGCCATTTGAGGTGCCCCAGGGGGTCCTAACTGGCCTCCAGTAGCCACTCCAGAAAGATGTAGGTCTGCCAAAAGCGGAAGGTCATATATGTCAGCTGTAAGAAGATGTCCTTTATAACCTGGGACCCCTCAGATGGATGAAACCCCACATTTAGGCAAGTCTATTGAGGCCCCGGTGTCTGGTTGGCTGCATTGTTCTCTAGGGTCCATTATGAACTAATTGCATACTCAGTGTATGGGTCTGATACACAAATACTATAGCATTCTCATGTTTTTTTCCTGTAATATAATACATGCAAAATTCTACCAAAATGTCATCACTTCTGATAGGTGGTTTCGTCTTTGTAAATCCAATGAGATCCAAAAATTACGTGACAGTGATGGACCCCCTCCAAGAAACTTATGGGAACGTGATGGGAAGCTTACTTTTCATTCCACCACTGCTAGGAGAGGTGTTCTGGTTTGCAGCTATCCTGGCGTCCCTGGGTAAATACTTACTTTGCTGTTATATTTGTTAAAGGTCATGTGGCACAACTATCAGAATACAATACACATTTGGGAATTGTGTTGGACTAAGCTATGGGAAATTCTGCTACATCTCCTTTTGTGAGAGGAACACAAAATATGTTTTCTGGAAAACATCTTGTTAGGTTTAAAAGAAATGACAGTAGTATATATTCATGATATTATAATAGAGAGGTCTGACAATATGTGTTAGTACCTTCATCTTGCCTGTGGGGGAGCAAATGTAAAAAGGCAAAGTGTCTTGGCAAAGACCATGCAGCAAGGTAGCAGCAGGAGCAGAAAGGCAACATGTGTCCTCCTGAGCCCTCACTCTGTAGACCGTGAGTGTCTCAAACAGTGTGGTGTGCTGGCATCAAGGGAATAACATATCCTTTTTTATTCTGTATTCTGCATGTATGAAATCTGTCTTAAAATGCTTGACCACTGTCCTTGTCTGCAGGAGCAACAATGAGAGTCATCTTGGACATTGGAGGCTCTTTGGCTATTGTCATCTCAGCATGCACTGTCGTACTCTACACTCTACTGGGAGGCCTCTACTCTGTTGCATACACAGATGTGATCCAGCTGGTTTTCATTACCCTCAGCCTGGCAAGTCCTGGTCATTTCTTTGTTACCAGTTTCCTAACTAAAGGACAAAATCACGCTCTTCTTTTCAGTATGTCTCAGACCAAAAATAACTCCACCAATCCTGGCCCTTGCCCTGCAGTTCCTTTGCAGGACAAGAGGTCTCCTGAAATGTTTTCCAGTCCTTATGCATTTCAGACAGTGCTCGCACAAGGTATTGGCCTTGCTGGGTGAATGTGTCTGCTCACAAACAAGGTCTGCAGAACTTGTCCACAGCAATCTTGGCTGGAAAGGAGAGAGATCTGCCTACTGAAGGCACCAACTGACCTGAATTACAGACTCACGATTTTGGCGATGCCAAGAACCAGAAACATGTATATGTAGAGTAAGGAAGGGGGAGAAAGGAAGACTTTCAGTCTGGGTTTATTCTTATGTAACTTTATATTCTATGTCTACCTTAATTTCAATATCTCAATAGATTCTCCAAGAACAAGTACACTGGGGAAATGATCACTTATTTCTGTTTCTACCCTAGTGGATCTGTATCCCTTTTGCCCTGATGAACTCTGCAACGGAAAGTATTTATTACACTGCAACTTATCAATCTTACCAAGACCCTTGGATTGGGAAGATAGGAAAACAATATCTTGGAAGGTGGCTGGATGACTTCTTCTTCCTGGTATGGAGTATTTCTTGGACAGGTGATTGGGAAAAGGGATTGTGCGCAGACCTTCTGTCTGGAGGTCTTGTGGGTTCTCCCAGCCCTATGTTGCACAGTTGGCAGGGGCAGGATGACGTGTAAAACCTTCTCTCAGCCACTCTGCAGCTCACTGAATGGACTAGGGAAATCCAGGGCTCATCTGTGAGAAGGAAAGAAGCAGTAGGGACACTCCATCCTTTACCCACCTGAAGGAATGTACCTCTTGAGTAAGACCATCCAGGCAACTAGTTCCACTCCTGGCACTAAATGAGCCATTTCCTACATTTTGAGAGGTTGGTCTTGCAGCCTCGACAGTGTGCTTTTAACATACTTGAGTAAAATTCCTCTATTTGAAAAAAAAATTATTAAAATGACACAACTGCAGGTCATCAGCAAGCGTGGAGCCCTTGGCTCCACTGCACAACTCAATTTTTAAGCTATCAGTACAGCCAAGACTAAAGGAGGTTGTTATGCTCTCACCGGCCTGGTAATAGGGACACACAGAAGATTGAGCTTGTTTGGTGAGGACAGAATCTTCAGATTTCATCTGATAAAATTTGTCTGCTAAGAAAGCGAATATGGTGATTTTTTTTTTTAATTTTGGATTATACTCTAGCTAAATTTGGTGGATTTTTGCAAAAGTTCCATTCCTGAAAAAATTTTCTTTTCCTTCTTCTGTGCCTGTTTTACAACCCATTTTTAACCTGTTGTATTTAGCTTTCTCAGCCTGTCAAACCATTGATCTGTTTTGATCAAAATTTCACATCCATCACAATGAAAACAAAGGAAAAGGATACCCTCAACCATGTTAACTGTCATCCTCACTAGTTAAAGCTGGGAAAAGTTTATGCGTTTGAAGTGAGAGGTTTATAACAGTAAAGATCATCATCCATCTGAAGGGATGGATGATGCCCTACAGCAGCCAGCAGCCTGGTGGGTACCGCTGGTAACATCTGAATGTTTCAGGTGCTTGGGAGCATACCGTGGCAAACTTACTTCCAAAGAGTGCTCTCCGCTGCCTCCCCGGGACAGGCAAGGCTAATCTCCTACCTCTCTGGACTGGGGTGCTTTTTAATGGCCATCCCCTCTGTGCTCATTGGTGCAGTTGCAGCATCAACAGGTAAAACTAAATCATTTCTCTCTGAATAATTAATGTGTTTTTGTCAAAGGCGATTAAAATGACACCTAAAGAAGTCCTGATTTAGACTTCAAATTACCTGGTCCTGTGTACCTAAAAGCCCTCAATGGGAGACCTGGCCACCAAGCTAGAAGCCTGTACCAGAAATTTAGAGTGCTCTGAGATTCAGTGTATGACTACCTAGAGATGTTTAGGCACCCCCAAGACCTGTTGAAAGCTGTTGCATTATGGTAAAAAGGCTTTTTATGGACCTTGGGATAAGGGAAGATGAAGGCAGACCCTGTAAAACGCTATATAATCCTATTTTCCAAGAAATCTTACGCCTGCTTCTGTTAATGCCTTCTGCATGTAAGACCCAATAATATTACTACAGGTTGTTAATAACATTCAGGAGAAAACCCGCTTGAAGGAATAAAGAAATTTGGTCCTGTAAATGCACAGCCCCAGCCCAGGAGATCAATACTGTGTTTGTTTATACCAAGGGTTAAAGAGCAGCCAGATCACCGAACTTGAACTCATAAATTCACCTGTCACTACGGGCATCAGAGAAAAACTCTCTTCTCCTCATGAGCAAGGTCTAGATGGTTGACCTTTAAGCGCCCCATTCCTGGAAACAGACAAAGTACAGCTATTTCTTTAGATGCTACTGGGGAAAAGGAAAACCTTTGATCTAGTGAGAGCCACAGTGTGCTAAGGGGAACCACAAGAGATCAAGAGAATCCAAAAAATGAATCCAAGCCCTAAAATACTGAGGAGGTCCCAGTCTTTAGCCCTGCTGTGACTGGTCCCTGTGGAAAGGCAGCTTCAAAAACAGCAGAAATGTCAGTGAATGATTTATTACAACCTTTCCTTGTTCTGTTTTAAAGACTGGAACCAGACAACCTATGGTCTTCCAAGTCCACTTGAGAGAGGGGAATCAGCAATGATACTACCACTTGTTTTACACTATCTCTGCCCAGCATACATCTCCGTTGCCGGTTTGGGAGCTATCGCTGCTGCCGCAATGTCTTCTGCGGACTCAGCTCTTCTCTCTGCTGGCTCCATGTTTGCTCACAATATCTACAGGAAAATACTGAGGAAAAAGGTACTTGGTTACAGCATTCAGTAGTTTGGGAGTCCAGGAGTAGTTCAGGAGTCTGGGGAGAGGACAGATGCTTTTGTTTCAAGACTGTTTCAAATCCAGTCTGTGTGTTCTGTGATTAGAAATGTCTGTCCTTCAGCTGCTGAACTGAGTTCTGGAGCCAGAGCTTCAAACATAGGTCAGGGGTGGTAGGGATACAAACACCTACACTGGTGAGATTTGCTCTTTATAAAATTACTGGTATAAAATTTGGTCTACTGTATTAATGGAAACAGCATAATGGAAACAGCAAAATGACAGAGGGCAGCTCCAGCTCCAGGATTGCCTGCCTTGGGTGGCTGCGGGTGGCAGCAGTGAGGGCTTGGTGGCAACCAGCCTGGGGCAAGGGCAGTGCTGGCCCCCCAGCCAGTAAACACCATGTCTGTAATATTATAATCTCTTTTTTTGCAGGCTACAGAGGCAGAGGTCTTATGGGCCATGAGGACCTCCATGTTGGTGTTTGGGGCCGTAGCTGCTGGTCTGGCTTTTTACTCCAGCTCTGTCTATGACCTCTGGTTCCTCAGCGGGGACCTGGTGTACGCTTTGCTCTTCCCCCAGCTCTGCTGCGCCCTCTTCGCTCCCAGCACCAACACCTACGGCTCAGCTGCTGGCTTCTTGGTTGGGCTGGTCTTGAGGCTGCTGGCAGGAGAGCCTGCCCTGGGCATCCCCCCTGCCATCTGCTACCCACCCTGCTCCCTGGTGAACGGCACCTACAGTCAGCTCTTCCCCTTTAAAACATTCACCATGCTTCTCACCCTGGGGACGATCCTTGCTGTTTCGTACCTGGCTGCGGTTTTGTTTCAGAGAAACATCCTTCCCCGCAGGTGGGATGTTTGCAATATCATGGGGGGAAACAGTACCCACATCCACATCCCCCTGCAGCAGGTGGGGAAGCAGATGGGTTCGCCAACAGTTGCACTAGAATAATCATGATTAAATGTAGGGCCTCTTTGAAAGGTCATGGTGCATTCAGCAATTACAGTCTGGCACAAACAGCATTGCTCTTCCCTTTGCTTTCTCCAGTAATGAATTATTTAAAGTCCTTGCAGAGTAATAAAGATGCACTCTGTTCATCCTAGGAGAATATGTGAGCTCCAAGTCTGCAGTGATTAAAGGCGCATGGTGATGGAGCATGATCTTGTGGTGGTGACCATGGGGCACCACGGGCCCCATCAGTGTTTGCTCCAGGGTGGCCCTGGTACCCCACCTGAAGGCAAGGTTACAAATCACGCTCCAACTTTTATGGCATTCTAAAGTCACATACTTTTCTCACCACAAAGGAGGCAAATTAATGTTTAATAGATTGGGTATACTTGATTAAAAAAAAAAAAAAAAAGGTGGGCAAACCTGTTCCCATTACAACAGCTAGAGTTTTAGCATAATCATCCCTGGGGAGTGCATCAGACCTATAAAAACACAGATTACTGAATACAATGCAACCACCATAGCAGTCCAGCAGTAATATCAGTTCTGCACCATTCTTTGTATGCTTTACAAAGCTTTCCTTGACACCACAAAAATGTTTGCATATGCCTCTCCCCAGCTGTGGTCTCAGGCCATGCAGCCAGTCCGCTGCCATGTGGCTGAGGAGAGGACATCCCCACTCATATGACCTGGTAGGGCAGAAGCAGATGAGCAAGATGAAGCAGAAACCCTTAATTACTGGATAAGAAAGTTTTACATAGGCACTATTTACAAAAACTCAACCAGCTGGAATAATGGAGGTGCCTGAGAGACTCTTCAACTAAACCTCTTCTCTAAAACACCTGGTTAAATCACTCGTGGAAAGGTGTTACTCAAGCAGAGCAGTGGGGTGCTGTAGGACACATACACAAACTGGTGTGTGAGACCTCAGAGGACTGCGATGACAGAAAGGTGCTGGGAATGGATCCTAAACCTGCCTGCAGGGACACGAAATCCTGAGGACAAGATCCCAAAATATTCAAGCCACAAGGTCTGTACAGAAAAGCCCCTGATACTATGTTTGCATAGATTCTCAATGGGTCAGGAGAAAATCAGCCCAGCTAACTAGTGAGTTTGGCCTCTAGCCTGAAGTGTGACGGACCGAGATCATCCCTCAGTGGGATGGGTCATTAAGATGGGAGCTGAAATAAAGATTCAGAAAGATCCTGCAGTGACGGCTCATGGATGGCAGTCATTTTGTTCTTCCCTCGGCAGCTGTGCAGTGGCTCACCAGGGGGCAGTCGTAACGACCCCCAAGAGCCAGCAGGAAACACGC